TTGCAAACAAGCAGGGGGGGACGTTAGCTGTGTTTTTTTCTTCTTCTTCTTCTGGACAGCGAGTGTTTACCCCGCCGTTTGACTGGACTAGCATATGAATCAGAGATGAATGTAGGAAAAGACACCATGCAAACTAAGAATCATTCGTGTTCCCACCTGACTGCCTCAACCTCAGGCTGTTTCCTGCTCCTGGATGATGAGCTAGCTAATGCATGCCCATCTGAACCAAGAGATACATCATCAAGAGCTAAACTAAACTTTACTCCTGGAGAATAATCACACAATTATTTTCCAGCAGTGGCTATTTTAAAAAAAATGTATTTATTTATTTATTTATGTGTTAGGGACAGTGCATATTAATGAACAGTAACAATTACAGCTGTAAAAATGCCAGATTATAGCAGAAGTGCTAGTTTCCAATCTGTTGTCCCTATAGGCAGGTAACAGAGAAATACAAATACAAGTGACACAAGACAATAATAGAGGTTAAAAGTGGTCACAGACTTGGTTTTCTTTTATCCATTGTTTGAGGTGTGTTTTGAAGGTTGCACATGTTTGTGAGTCTCTTATTGTGAGTGGGAGAATATTCCAACATTTAGTTCCTTTTGACTGACAGAACAGTTTGTCTGAATGTGGTGCGTCTGTGTGGGACCCCACAGTCTCCTCGGGCCCCGGTGCCGATCCCACTGGCAGACTTCAGCTTCATAAAGTCCTTCAGAGGAGGAGGAGCAAGTCCGTGCAAACATGCATGAACCAAAATTATGAAAATTTAGTAAATTATGTTACATAGGAACTAGGATTTAATGCGTACCTTGTGATCGGCACGTCAGAATCACAAAATATCTGAATTGTTTGTCTCTACTGAAAGATTCTTATGCGTCGTGGTTTACTTGTGCAAGTGTTGCTTCGCTGGCTGCGCCTGTTAGTCAAAGGTGTGTCTGTTAAAGAGAACACAGCACGTGTCCTGGTCCAGTATGTCCCCATCCTGTTGTAAGATTGGCCTGTCATGAATGAATGGAATGAATTGGTAGAGGATCTGTTTAGCTTAAGTACAAATTTTTTTAACCCAAGACTTGAGATTTTGCCAGCTCCTGAAATCTGTAAACAAAACCTTTTTTTGGTACGATGTATGATGATGTGATATTTATCTGAATTTCAATCATACTTACAACAATTTAAATCTTTGAATCTGTATTCTGTGCTTTTGAATAATAATAATATATTGATTTTTTATAGCGCTTTTCTCGGAACCCAAAGACAAAATATAAAACCATAAAACAAAACAAAAGACGACGAGGACAGTACAATGAAGAAGTAATGTAGGGGGAGGGAGGAGTTAGTGGTTGTAGGCAATGTTGAAGAGGTGAGTTTTGAGGGATTTCTTGAAGGAGGTGAGTGTGGGGGAGTCTCTGATGTTTTTTGGGAGTGAGTTCCAGAGGGTGGGAGCAGCAACAGAGAAAGGTTTGTCCTGCGGGGGGGGGTTATCTGCAGACCTGAGAGTGCGGGTGGGAGTGTGTCGGTGGTGGAGGTGAGACATGTAGGGGGGAGCCAGGTTGTGAAGGGCTTTGAAGGAAGGTGATGATGAGGAGTTTGAAGTTGATACACTGATGGATGGGGAGCCAGTGGAGGTCATGAAGGACGGGGGTGATGTGGTCTCTGGTGCAGGAGTGTGTGAGGAGACGAGCAGCGGAGCTCTGGATGTATTGGAGCATCTTCAGCTTTTTGAAACTTCCATTCCCACCTTGATCCTGTACATGGGCCTCTGTTGATGCCTATTTTTGGTTACATGTGCTGTGTTGTTTTCTTTGAAGATTCATCTTTCTGATCAAAGTAATTTTCTCCATCCTAGGATTTGGCGTATGCCTGGTGAAAAAGCAGTGAGTAGAGGTGAGTCTGGCTGATTGGAGCCAGTAGAGATGGGTGCCAACACCAGCCAGGTCAGTGACCTGTCCGAGAACCCCAGCCTCAAGTCCCTGGTGGGCACTGTGTCTATATCAGAGAATGATCCTTTCTGGAACCAGCTGATATCCTTCACCTTCATCAGCCCCACAAGCAGGTATACAAACACACACGTTCACACACACACACACACACTCAAAAGAGTTTGTTAAACGTGTCTCATTACTAGCTAGAATTCTAGAGTTTGATGATAAGCTTATTTATCAACTGGCTTAAAGTCCTAATGAAAATTGTCGCCTGAAATATTTTTGGTTGCAGCTTCATAGATGCAAAAGTTGTCTTCTCTTCTATTTTAAGTTTCATAAGAAACAAAAACTTTAAGCACCAGTTCCACGAGAGCATGGACAGTAGACTCTCTCTCAAGATGATTTATTTGAAATAACTTGACATTTAATAATAATGAATCTGTTAGCTTGACTCCTGTCATGATACGACCATTACACATCTAAAAGAAACACACAAGAAACAAGACATGAATAGAAACAGATTTCAGATTAGACTGATAGCGTATGTAGCAGTATGTCTGGAGTTGTTGTCTTTAGGGGCTCTGATGGACAAAATGTTTTTTTCTGCACGTTTCTGAAAATTTAGAGGACAACTAAATGGAAGTCACATCTCAAACACATTTTTGACCCAATTCTCTGAGCATCTTCTCAAGATTTATGACATGTTTTACCAACTCACATCCTTCACACAACCTTCCCTACAACAACTACTACGTCTTGCAGGATTGTGAGACAGTATCCAACAATAAACTGTTGACAGGATGTTTGCAGAGCTCGCCTGATTAATGATCCAACAGAGTTCAGTTGTCCTGCCTGGCTGAGGAAAGATTAACTACCTTACATGATGTGTCTTAGTTAATAATTCTCAGAATAAAGTCATTGAATTTGTTTTTGCAGCAGGACTGAGGGAAGATGTTAATAATCTATCATCTTTTAGGAGTGTTTTATTCATCTAGAGCTTGTGTACTTATGCACATTCTGCTCATACTTGAGCTATGCTTTTAGGATACCATCACACATGTGACCATCTCAACAAACAAAGGACATAAAGACATCGATCTAATATGTATAAATCATTAGTTAGGACCCAGTGTAACAATGCATTATATTCCAACTCTTACAGTTATTATTGCATGCCTACTTTCCTGTTACCCTGAGTAACGCAAGCCTATTTTAGTCACCCTCCCTGTATTCATGGAGATGTATGAATATCCTTTATTTCCTATTATTATTATTATTTAACCCATGAGAGTCTTGACTTGGACCTGCCCTCGAAAACTTGAGACTTGATTTGAAATTGCCATAAGTGACTTGTGCCCATCCCTGATAGATACTCAAGGCAATCAAAAGAAAACCCACAAGATTTAAAAAAAAAAAAAAAGGTGGAGAAGCCAAAGTTTAAACATTACCCGCCAGTTGAGCTTATAATAACACACAGCCGTATCGAGAGGGCAGAGAATGGTATGGCTTGTCTCTCAGACATACTGCACAGAAGCATGACATGGCGGGACTTGATTGAGCTGTCCATCGGATATAAAAAACATCCATGCTGAACTCTTATCAAAATGTATAGAAGCTGACATACACAATTGACTTTAAATGATCTAATTAACCAGTAAATGTATCTACTTAGTTGTAACAATATAAGAAAAAGTCGCCATTTGTTCTGCAGCTTTTAAAGTATAAATCAAGAGAGCAGATCATAAAAGCCATCACGGTGTCTTTTCCATTTTCTCTTGTGCGTTCTTTATGTGTTTTTAAGTTTTCCTTTAATTTCGTTTAATTCTCTTTTTCCCCGCCTTCCCTTTCAAACAGTGGAGACTCCAAGCTGCTGGAAGAGGCTGTCATCCCCCTGGCCAAGACCCTCAGTATGTTGCTTTTTAATAAATACAGTTAAAGGGTGGTTCCGTTTTTTTTTTAAAAGTGGGTTTGATGAGCTTTTTAATCAAAATGAAGTGTTCTTCATCGAGTAAAGCACCAACATGGTAGCTAAGCTATGTACCACTGTTAAGGGTCATCAGAACTGAATGTAATTTAGCCAACTAAAAGAGTCCAACTTCTAAAAAAAAACTTCATGTTAGGTGTATGTGTTTAAATATTTTCTCCTCTTTACAATGAGGACAGAAAGCCCTCTTGTGAGGACTATGTTAGCTTTAAAATGTCCAACCCAGAATCCAGAACTATCCCTTTAAAGTTTTCTTTTTGGTCTTATCAGTGCTGAGGTTACAATGACTCTCTACTTCTTCAGACTCAAAATTAAGATAAAAAACAAAAAGTTATTCTTCTTTGTAAGAACTGTACGTTTCGATTTCCTATTTCATATCACTGATACATTCTCCCCTGTTTTCTTTTCCCCCTCTTTAAGTTGAAAACAATCCAGAAGTGGAACTTTGGCGCACTTGTCCGAATTTTCCTGGGAAGAACCAAAGAGCTGAAAATCTCCACAGAATGCCAAGAGTGAGTATGGGAAACCTCAGAGGAGACAACCAATCTCTGACGGCTGTATCAGCAATGATGCATGTCAGTGTTCATTTTTTTCGGGGGTGCAGTCCAGTTATCGGTTGGACACAGGCAAGCAGGGGATCTTTATTTTGTACAGGGCAGAAACACTGAAGAGGGTTTTTTAAGTTTCCCATGAGAAAAACACCCGAGGTATAACCATCAACACATGTGGCATTATTCTCCACTCACTGCCAAAATCCATTTCCACACAGACTGACCCTGCCCAAGTCACCAAAATCCATCGGGTGGGAACTCCTCCATCTCTTTAAACGTCATTAGAGGTTGAAGTTATCGCTCCCCATCCACACCCATTTATTTTTCAGACAATTTAGACCAGATTTTGTCCTGTAAACAAACCTACATTTTCTGCATGTGACATAATTGTCATGTGCAAATTGTCAATTTGTGGGACTGATTAGACAACTCCCAGTTGGCGCGGCGCTTTGTGCTTGAGAAACTTTGTGGTTTGAACAGGATGTTTTCAATCATTTCTTGTTTTCCTCATTACGTGTTTCTCACCAACTTGGTCCTGATTTCTTCCCCCCCCCCTCTGTTCTATGAATATGATGCAGTTTGTGTCAAACTGTTATGTTGTATGGTGAAAGATATTGTTACATTCATCTGTTTTCAAGCTGCGGTTTTATTGCGGTTGTCAGGAACAGTACTTTTTAAAGAGTGACCATACAGTGCTTTATTTGTTTCCCTTTCTAATCATCATGATTATATGGGCATGGAGGGAGATGCAAATGAAGAACAGGAACTGTAAAGGAAGAATGTGCGACTTTTTGATCCAGTAGATGTCGCCCTTGAGCACCAGCATGAAACCAAAACAAACTGCTGTTTGGCGACACCTTCGCTATTCTGAAGCCTCCGCTCTCCTCCAGCGGCACACCTCCAACCCCTCTTGACTGGAGTTCACACGAAGGGGGTCTTTAGTAGTTATTAGAACGCATCATAATTAAGCACCTTTAAGCACAAAGTTGCCCTGTGCTCGAGCTGCAATTGCCTGTGTCCTGCATTGTTGTGTTAGCAGGCTAATGTTAGCACACTTTGGTTAGCTCGTAGCTTCACATTGCATATAAATTGACACAGAATGACCGTGATCTAAACACACATACGTGACATCCAAATAAGCAGTGAGTATGTTATTCTTCACTTCTCTAGTCCTTGACTGAAACAGCTTTATACACAAGGCCGTCACGTCAATGTAAACATGATGTAAACACAGCTCCGACAACAATACAGCTGGCAGGACTCACGCTTCTCACTCATTGTCTACAGTCATGACATTTACAGAGGATATACCTTCTGCTGTATTTATTTTAGGTCAAGTTAGATGTAATGGCATTATTTAAGAACTACTTGAGGGTCAATACTTTCATCTTTTTTGTGTTAACTTATTCATTCTCAGTAAGCAAAAAAAAAAACAACAACACAAGGACACTATTACCAGCCTCCTCTGGTCGAGTTACTCATGTACCCGAGCCACTCTCCACTGATAACGAGCACCTGAAATCTTTTCAAGCCACATATAACTGAGGAACGCACACGGCCAGCCAAGCTTTCCTCTGTAAATTTAGGAAATAAAACCACTGGCACACATCCATCCCTTAATAGAACGTTTATTTCGGTCTGTTTCTGACCTCAATGTGATGTCCTTTTTATCCTCCTCCTCCTCTGCAGTCAGCTGTTTATCTGGCAGGCCCACAACGCTCTGTTCATGATCCGCTGCCTGCTCAAGGTGTTCATCAGGGAGATGAGCGAGGAGGAGCTGCACCTACAGTTCTCCTACCAGGAGAGGGCACCAGGCTCCTGTGGAGGTGAGAGGCACTGACTCATTTGGATTAAAAGGTTTGGCGTGGGAGGTGGAAATAGAGCCAGAAATTGAATACAAGTCAGCTTTAAAGGATTTAACTTTTTTGTTGTTGTGAAAGCCCTTTTTTTTTATGTATGAAGGGACTAGCAGCTGTTTTATGTAAGACTGATTGAGCTTTTAGGCACTTAAGATCACTTGTGAATACTTTTCACAAAATCCACATCATCTACTGAGAAATCTGCTGAACACCACCCTCTAAAGTTCTCATCTCTGAGTAGACTCATTACATGTGAGTTATTACAATACAGTCACTAGGGTCAGTTGCGTAACACTTCTGTTCCTACCTAAAGAGAAATATGAAATTGGCTTTTTAATTGAGCACAAAAACCCCAGACTACTGACCTGGATCAGATGTCTCTGAGAGACTCTGTTAATAAAGTCTGAATCTACGTCAATGGACTGCACATCATTATCTGACCTCAAACACTAGCCCCATCTGAGCTTTTTTCACTGAATAAACCAGAGACTGCCTAAAGCATGGTGGAAGTAGTCCCAGTGAAGTAACCCATTGGTTTCTGAAGGGGCGTTTTGTAGCCCAACGATGGCGATTACCATATTAGAAATGCTATATCCACTAATTACAAAATAAGCTATTGAGGCTAAAGCCATTTTGTATGTTATGTATATTTTGGGGCTTTTTTATGCCATTATTGTAGCGATAGATCAGTGGATAAAGTTGTAAATTAAGACATAAAGAGTGGGGAATGGCGAATGAAAGAGCCACAGATCAGATTTGAACCAAGTCCGCCCGCTTCAAGGACTACAGCCTCAAGGTTCAAGGCGTATGCCCTAACCACTTGTCCACCGGCGCCCTGAGCCATTTTTTTGATCCAGGCTGTAGTTTTGTTTTTTTCTGCTAAAAAAAAAAAATTGCTGGGGGCTAAAAGGGGATTCTTTGGCTTTTGCAGCCAGCGGCCTCAAGTGGACTCTAGAGGAACTGCAGGTTTTTGCAGAACCGTACTGGCTTCATTCTTAACCTCCAAGGGGTTGCCAATTGATATAACCACTCTGCAAATGTGCAGCTTCTAGGACAGCTTGACACATTTAAATAAATTAGGGTTACAGAGGCAATGAAAATACAATTTAAAGGAAAAATAATGAATTAACTCCTTCGTTTGTTATCATTCTGCAGAGGCAGCGTTTCAACGTTTGTAACCAGAAGTCACTCATACAAATGCACTTTGACATTTTCCTCAAGACAAATGCCCTCTCATTCTCAGCTTTCTGCAGGCCCTTGAGCATATTTGCTGTGTCAGGTGGTTGGTTATAAAGATACCTTTATTTGCATTCTATATGAAAGAGACAAAAACAGCTTGTTGAAAGAGATAGATAGAAGATAATCCTGGATTTAGGACTAGATCTACCTAGGGTTCCTAAAAAAGTGCTTTAATGATATAGATCATCCTGTCTTTCATGATAATTTTAAGGAAGTCACACACAGACTTCATCAGACAAGAGAAATGTCTGTGTTTAATAAAGACATTAAAGCTTAGTGGGAATAGTTGTGACTGAGGATAGTTCGTGAAGAAGGTTGATAAAAACCTTTTCAGCCATTCAGATCAAGACCTGAAACAAACGCTGTCACTACCCTTCTGATATAAATTGTTCTCCGTTATCATTGCCATTTTTGTCATGTATATTGCAAGGAAGTACTTAAAGACATTCAATAAAACGAAACATTTAAAGCCACATTGTTCCTGCGGTTCTATCATTCTTTCATATTTCTCCAGTGATTATGGACCAGCTCTGCATGTTATGCGGGTTTAAATGGATGTAAAAAGTCTTACATTTAAACCCTGTAATCCCAATATTACCTACTGCTACGTCTCTCCACAGCAAGCATGGAAGGAAGGAAGGATAGAGAGAGAGAGAGAGAGAGAGAGAGAGAGGGATTGGTAAAGTTAGAGTTGGAGGGAGCAAAGAGAGATATGACCAACAGGGAGCTGTCATCTGGTGTCTCATATAATAACTCTCTCTGCTCCTTTTTTAGAAAACGGGCAAACAGGACCTCCTCGAGGAGCTGCTGTCCAACCTCGTTCACCTGATCGTTGAAGTGCCCCTGCTGTAAGTATCTCCCTGTGTGTGTGTGCGTGTGTGAGACAGTTGAATTAAACACCCCATTTGTCTTGCGTACACTAAAAAGGTCAGACATGCAAGACAGCGCCGTAAAGTGACATTTTACACAGCTAGCCTGTTCACTCTCCTAACTGAATCCACACAGTGATCTGTTAATGTCATCACTTATTATTAAAGATCACTTGTTTGACATTTATTTATAACCATAATATTTAAAGGAATCAATCAATTACTGGAGACTTTTGTGCAGCCCACCCCGTTCCTTTTTTTCATTCATGTTTGCTTTCTTTTTTTTTTTTCTCAAGTGTCCTGGATGTTAGTCATAAAGCTCTTAATGGAAAACAGTTTGGGAAAAAGTTTGTGTGTGTGTGTGTGTTACCCTCTGTTTGCTTGGTCCTTGATTCACCTAACAAAGACAAGCTGAAATCCATTTATGGAACAAGTTAAGGTTTTTGATGTCCATATGTTTCACTTCCTGAGTCCTCAACCGAACTGACACGCTGAGCCCTGCGCTGGAAAAAATGCTGAACAAAGGGGAAACAAATAAAAAAAAAAAAAAACAGGACAGGATGAACCTAAACTAATTAAAGAAAGAGAAAGTGTTGAAAGAAGAGAAGGCTGAAGTGAAAGTTGGTTCAGGAGCGGTGCCAGTGAGTGGAGACGAGGAACATAATGATTGAAAACTGGTATCAGCCTTTACTCCCAGTGGGCGGTGTGCACCTAACACTTTAATAAGTGAATGTTCAGGTTTTTTTTCCCTTACTTATCAATGGTAGGATATCTCCAGCCTGCCACTCAGTCTGTCACATGCAGACAAAGATACAGTGTGTGCGTCTCTGCAGACAAAATCTCCCCTGCAGTGTCAAACAAGTTCACAGGAACATGACAGTTGGTTTTTCCTTAACGCAGCATCTTCCACTTCTCCTCTCTTTTCCCTTGTCTGTATTGTGTATTCTTGGCGTCTTCCTCCTCTTCCTCTTCCTCCTCCTCCTCCTCCTCTCCCTGTCTACCAGACCAATCATGCTTTCTTTCTCTTCATCTCTCTTCTCTTCTGTTGTCTCCGGACATCAAACCCTGGCTCTTATGTAAATGCATTTCGGCATTCCAACATTATTCATTGTTCCCAGCGTTTGAGACTCTACTGTTTTTCTTCCCTTCACCACTTTGTGGCCGTCAGCCACTTCCTTCGTACGTGCTCCTGGTTTGGTTCTGAACATTACCATTCTTTTGGTATAGCTCCCCCCCACAATCTCTAACAGAGCTTTGTACTTTAACAGTTCCTTCGGATACGTTTTTAGAGGCTTGAGTGTACGAGGAAGAGAGAATGAAGTAGTTCAAAATGATCTTTTTGAGACATGAAGTTGATATCTATAGACACATTGAACCTACATTTATCATCATATCCTCTTTTACACAGAATCTGTTATATGTTGTGCTCACTGGTGGGTCGGGACCCAAAAGTGGGTCGCGAGCTTTTTTTCCATGTGACTGGGGGAAAGAAGTGTCAAAAAGTCTATGAAGCACTCTTAAACATGTTGGTTTGTTCCTTCACAAGTTTCGTACCATCTTAGGTCCAAACTGCACTTTTTTTCATGGAATAAATCTAAAAAAAGAACAGAAATTTGGGTCACAATTGGTTCTCCACTTGTCTCGCCTAAGGACCCCTGATATAGAGTATGTGTGGATTAAATACCACAGACTTATTAAAGCACTTGTAATTTAAGCCTCAAAACTTTGCTGCTTCATTAGGTTTCTTAGTTTTACCAAAATGTACATATTAAATGGAACCTAAAGAACCCGGATGAATAAATAGAAATGTAGTTTTAAAAAAACAAGTTTTAGATTGAATGGATTTATCAGATTATATGAGCCTCGACACAGAGAGCACCCACTTTGCTTAAGTTTAGATCAACATGAGTCAGAGTTAATAGGAAAGACATTTGTTTGCTGCGTGTGTAGCAGTCTCTTTGTTACTCATCAATGTACCAACAAAATGTGGAAAACTCAATTCATCTGTAAGTCATTATAAAAGTGATTAAAAACAAATTTTGGGGGGTTTCGACTGATGGCAGGGGTATAAGAAGCTACATTTTGTAAAAATTTCGAACTTATTGACGGATGAAACGATATTAAACATCTCGGTTGAAGACCATGATGTGGAATTAATCTGTGTTAATGTCTCACATAGGGAGAGTGATATTTTCCTGTTGTGAGTCAGGACTGGAAGAGTGTGTAAAAGTGGAAAACAACCTTGACCCCTCTTTAAGGTCAGGCTGGTTCAGTGGTGTGTTTATGTGACAGGAAGCAGGTAACGGCTAAGATCTGCCCTCCACTCCAAAATATTTTTAGCTGATTGTTACCTTAAACGTGTTTTTGACTTTTACTGTTTGTGCAAGGTTGGACAGTAAAAACATTCATTCACTGACAGGGGAAAGTTTCTCTGTGCTGTGACTTATATTGGTACATACATACAAACTTTAATTCATTTGGAAACTGTAGTTGTTGGTCCAGAATTCAACTCCTGTGTGTTTTGGAAACTTTTGACAGTATTTCACATTTTCTGGGCATTTTCTGGATGATGAAAGGGAGCAAGACAACATGTTGTTAAATGTTTTAAAAGAGGGTTTCTTTGTAAAAACTTCACTTTTTTCTTTTTCTTTGAAGGAGATCACTTCTTTATGTTTTTTTTTTTTTCTTTTTTCTTACTTTAACAAACATTATTATGAACACTTGAGCTTCTGACTACTCAAAGTGTTTTTACACGGCAGATCCCACCTACACATTCACACACTGAAGGCAGAGGCAGCTATGCAAAGTGACCAACAGAAGTAACCAATCCCATTCACACACATTCATACGCCGCTGACAAAGCAGCAGGAGCAACTTGTGGTGCCCAAATGTCTTGCCCAAAGACACATCGGACATGTAGCTGAAGGAGAATGATGAGGTTTCAGTGTCAGAAGCCAGGAGTTACACATGAACAGGACAAAATCAGGAAATGGCTTTTGAAATTGAACATGCTAACGTAACTCTGGATGCGTTTGTGTTTTCTTCTGTAGAGACATCACCTATAGCATCCTGTTTGAAGCAGTGACCACACTCCTGGTATTCTTCTCCTATCAGCTTTTCCACAAAGACATCCTCCGAGATGGATTAATCTACCAGCATGTCATGAAGGGACGATGGTAAGAAAACACTCAAACACACATACACACAATTGAGTAAATGAAACAAATACAAAATGTAATTTCCTAGTCTACACGGCTACATCGTACTTATTTAAAGGTGTAAGATCTGATCATCACCCACATCCAGCTTTGTAATACAAAAACATAACAGGGGGATATTTCATACCTTTTTAGACTGAGTTATGAGTTAAGTGGATCTTCCACAATCTGTTAAAGACTTTTTTGAAAGCAGGCCCAAATCACTTTGGATGTCCTCCAATCCAATGTGACACCGTCTGATCCGGCCTAATGTTCCATCCGTCCAGACTCTGATGCAGTTTTAGCATCTCTGCCGGTCAGTCTCATCATGCTCCAAACAATGTCTTCCCCTGTCATTCAATTTATACTAGAGAGGGGGGGAAAAAAAGGAAACAAATCTAGTCCACACAGACCTTTGTGTATTCTGTGACCTTGTCTGAGGTAAGACTATCTGGCAAGTTTTCAAATCTGGTGACAAGTCAACAAAATAAAAGCAGAAGTTGAAACCAAATGATGCAGATCTATTCTTTTTAAAAGATTTCAACCAGCTCCCTGAGTCACTCTTATCTGGAATGTAAATGAAGTCAGACAAATGCTTCACTGCACTTGTATTTGAAAGTGTAGCGCTGCAGTTTTTTCGATGGGTGCACACA